CGACATTTCCATCAGATTGTCAACTGCGTACAACCAAGGATCGTTCCACGACACCTGGTCATCGGCGCGACCTTGCGCCACGCCAGACGATCACTCCCAACTGTCAAAGCGTCCACGTCCGACAACGGCTTGATGTCCCAATTGAGCCTATCAGGTCCAATCACTCCTCCTACAATCAGAACCTCAGCACTCAAACTCGTCACCGCCATTCCAATCCTCCGCTTAAACTCAGACGCCGACGCAACCATCTTCCACGTATCGTCTTCTTCTTGCTTCAACACCAGTCCATGGCTCATCACGTAAAGCACGTCTTCAACAACCGCCATTGGACCTTGAGGCCAACCGTACTCTTTCACAGCCCATCCGAGTTTAACGCTCTCAAGAACCTGCACGGTCGATAACCCTTTGTGCAAAACGTGAACTTTCCCTTTGACCACTAAACCCGAGCAAGCCGAGTTATGAGTCCTGTGGAGATCAGGGATCGAAGTCCAAATATCATTCTCAGGATCATACATCTCAGCTCCAGATATCGATTTCCGACAAGTCGTGAATCCGCCAGCGACAACAATGTTCCCATCGAGAACACAACAAGCGAACATAGCACGAGGCACGAGCATTGGCGCTCGCTGAGTCCATTGTCTCTGAACAAAGTCGTAAGACCAGACCTCGTCCGTTGCAAAGGTACCATCGTGATCACCAGTTAACGGATCAACCGCATCACTACCTCCACCTAAAACAAAGAGCTTTCCAGCGACGGTAACAGCTCCGAAGTGAGCGAGGTGGCGAATTCTTGACGGAAGGAGAGGGAGAGTGAGCCATCGATCACAGTTTGGACTGTAGACTTGCCAAATGTTCTCAGGATCAAAAGCACAAACACAGAGAAGATTCTCTAATGATCCAACTTCTTTTCGGACTTTAAAAAGCTCCTCGCTGCGTATCGCTGTTCGCCATGAACGAGACACGAGCTCTAGATTCGGATGAGTGTCTAATGGCACACGAGCAAGGCATCTAAGAGCAACTGCTTCTGGAATACCATCGAACAGACCAGACATTGTGGTTTCTGCTGCAAATCTGAAAACAAATTGATGATGATCAAGATACGAAATTGCAACAAAAGCAAAAAAAATCAGGAATTTATTGAATCTGGATGAAGAAAATCGATTGTGTGAATGAATATTGACCTGTAAAGTGAGATTTGTGGATCGATGATTGTGTGTGAAACAGGTGATGTGAAGTAAAAGTTATTGAAAAGGCGAAACCGTGAAAAGACCTAGAGGATGATGATGTGCAGGCGAAATCTCTGGGCAAAAAAGGGAACCCAAAATTACTCTGATGGATTTCTTTCTCTGATTTTGCCGATCGAAACCCAATTCGGCGTTTGTGGTGTTTCTGGAGGAAGGAAGATTGATTGATAGTTTTGTGTTTGGATGATTTCTTAGTGAAAGAGGTTTCTTCGGCGGATTTTGAGTCCGAGACATGGAATCGGTATCTGTGGGTAAGAAAATAAGGACCTAAATTACTGGGCCTGCTTTGGGCCGAGCCGTGAAAACTACTTACTTAAATTACATTCATGATTTTGTTGGTTGACTTCTCTTTCAGGGAAATAACTCTGGAAGTTATGGTATAAATCCAAACCTTGGTCATTATTTCTATCTATCTTTTGGTCTTTCTTGCTTCCTAAGTTATGATTTTTATTATCTTTGCATTCTTATGATAATAATTTCTGCTCTTTTTCGTTATCGTTGCATTAGGAGTGTGTTTAAATTAGCTGGGGAATCAAAGCTCTCTAAAAGAGCAAGACTTTATGTTATGACAGTGAATCAGAAGAAATAAGCGACCAAGAAAACTTTTAGGTGGAAGGCAAGAATGAAGATTATGAATTACCTGATGGTAACAAGGATATGATATATTGAAGAACTGAAGCATGATATTAACAAACTGCAATTTTGAAACGCAGGAATAGATTAACTGTTTTTTGTGTGCAGTGTGTTGTAATACAAAGTGAAAATGTATAATTATTTATGATTCATGCCATGAAGAATTATGAAACCAAGTCATATATAGCCAATAAACCTTCACACAAAGACAAAGACGTCAAACGCTACACAAACCAATTTCATTACAAAACCAACATGGAAAAGCTTTAGTTACAAAACGTGTTTTATCAAAGTCTTCTTCCAGAGAGGCTAATGGAGCTGACTTTCTGAGGAGTGGCAACCACAAGTGGAGCTTCTGGAGATTTGTGACCCGAGAAGGAGAGGTTATCGTGCATGAATCGGCTCTCCACAATCGACTCATCCTTCAACAAGATCTTGTAGCAGTAACAGCTCTTCAGCCCTTGCTGGTTCCTATAGCACTCGTGTGCACTGTTCTTCACCCTCTCCAAGTCCCATATCACACTGAATTTCCCCACTGTTGCTACTATGTGCCTCTCTTGCTTCCCGCTCTCAGTTACCTGTTCACCAAACACACAACAAAGACTATGATGAGATTTCGCTTTAAAACTACCAATAACTGTAAACAATATTGTCTGAAGAAGTGAAACTTACCCATGAGAAGTGACCGCCGTGGAACTTATTATCGCTTCCTGCCAAGTGTGAATCTAGCGGTGTTAGCTTCAGAAGCCTTGGTGCTGGTATTTTGTTTCCCATCCTTCCGCTAAAACCTGTTTTTGTCCGACCATCTTTGTCTGTGAAAAGGGTGCATATAAGAACCAAATATGTATCTGTTGTGCCCAATATCCATTTCCCGTCATAAGAAACGTCCACATTTGTAATCGGTGAACCGAGCCCTGGGAATGCCGTCTTTGCCTGTCTCATTGAGGTCTTTGAGTACAACCTTATCTTTCCATCAAGCGATCCCACAACGATTGACCCATCTCCAGTAGTTGCAAAGCACTGGAAATTTGTTCCTCTTGAAAACTGATGTCCTTGAGTCCATTCCAAGATGGGCGATTCGATGCTCTGCACTATACCTCTCCTGTCCCTCATGTCCCATTGACACAGCCTATTGTCATCTAATCCCAAAAATGTAGATTCTGATGGATCTAGCTGCGACCCTTTTGTATCATTTGTTATGTCTCTCATCGAGATTTCAGTCCCGTCTTTCTCGAACTTCCATTCCGTAACAATCTTCCCCGACTCTATATCGAGCTGCTTAACACCACTCGAGTGCGGTTTCCCTTGTTTAGCCGGACTCATCAGCATCATATTAGTCTCCGCCCTCATCAAAAGTGCCTTGTTTGGTGTTGTCTGGCTCGAACCCGATCCGAATTTCGAGTTTCCAGCATCAAACCTCACGCACACACCTTTCCCATGAATCCCACGCTCCATATTCCTATAAACCTGAACCCCTAAATCATTCACCAAGAATGAATTATCCAATGCTCCTAAAGCCAAACTATGCACTCCACCATTAGCAACTTCCTCGAATTCTTCAGTCAAATCGGTAGTTTTCTTCGCCCGAGTTTCCTCTTCTTCCGGTGGACCTTCAGCATCCTCCCACATAGAATCATCAGCAGCCTCGGGATTAGCCCATCCCATGAAATCTTTCCCATAAACCTTGACCCTGTTATCCTCTGTTGCCTTGACCTTATACACATTCTCAAACAGATAGTCCTGGAACCTGGTAACGAACCTCCTATAATCCTCATCCGTCAAGAACTTCAAAGCCCAAACACCATTACTCACGAAATCAACCCTACGTTGATCCCCAAACATTTTCAACTGCATATCCGTCGAAACCCTGGCTTTAACCTTAGAACCAACCCCAAGAAACCAAAAGGACTCACCTCTTTCACCTGAATCTC